ATCCAACAGGAGAAGGACCCTAAAACTGCCAAAATCATCAAAATCATCCCTGCTGCTCATCAAGGAGCTGGAGCGCTTTGCCCCATTGAGGAAATGAAGATTGATGGACAGGTGAAATAGCCTAAAGTGTCAACTCAAGTTATATTGACCCCTGTTCCTGTTTCGCAGACTGTCCAGTACTTTTTCTTCCAGAAGAAGAAGTATGTCTACAACGCCGATAAGAAGATCTTCGAAAACTTGCGTTTCCCTTCCGATGATGGAAAGACTGTTGCCGAACTGAACGCTTGCCGTGGACTGATCAATGAAGCTGAAGCAAATCGTGCTTTGGACTTGTATGGCTTGAACAAGTTCGATGTGCCTATTCCAACATTCATCGAGTTGTTTAAAGAGCATGCCGTTGCTCCGTTCTTTGTGTTCCAGCTTTTCTGTGTTGCTCTTTGGTTCTTGGATGATATGTGGTACTACTCTCTGTTCACTTTGTTCATGTTGATTGTCTTTGAGTCCACTGTCGTTCTTCAGGTTTGCATCGAATAACTCAGAGACCTCAAACTAACCTGTTCGAACTGCAGAGACTTAAAAACCTCCAAGAGTTCCGCGCAATGTCCATTCAGCCGTACCCAATCTTTGTTTACAGAAAGAAGCAATGGATGCAGATTCAAACTGATGAACTTCTTCCTGGAGACGTGTGCTCCATTTTGAGATCAGTCGATGACTGCCTGTTCCTGCTGATATGGTTGTTCTGATGGATCTTGTATTGCAAACGAAGCCATGCTTCTGGAGAATCGACTCCCCAGTTGAAGGAGTCTATCTCAGTTCGCGACGCTACCGATGTTTTTGATATGGAAACCGACAAAACCAGGTCTTGTTTGGAGGAACCAAGATTCTTCAGGTGACTCCACCAGCAGCTGGCTCTCCTATCGCCGCACCTGACAACGGATGTATCGCCTACGTCTGAAAACTGGTTTCTCAACTCAGCAAGGAAAACTCGTTCGAACTATCATCTACAGTACCGAAAGAATCACTGCCAATAACCGAGAGTCACTCTTCTTCATTGTGTTCTTGCTTATTTTCGCTATCATGGCATCTTACTACGTTTGGACTGAGGGAATCAAGAACGAGGAGAGAAAGAAAGAAAAGATCCTCTTGGATTGTATCCTTATCATTACGTCTGTGGTTCCTCCAGAGTTGCCCATGGATTGTCGCTTGCCGTAAACAACTCTCTGATGGCATTGGTGAAGCATTACATTTTCTGTACAGAACCATTCCGAATTCCTTTTGCTGGAAAGGTTGATGTTGCTTGTTTCGACAAGACTGGAACTTTGTGAGTAATTTGGTATTTGTCTTCCGTTTACTTGCTGAGTCAATATTCAGGACTGAAGAAAACCTCATTGTTGATGGAGTTTCTGGATTGGGAAAAGACACAAAGGAGCTCATTAAGCCTCTTGATGCCCCAAAACAGACATCCTTGGTTCTGGCCGCAGCTCATGCCCTCGTACAGCTTGATGACGGCATTATTGGTGACCCAATGGAAAAGAACACTTTGGAATCTATCCAGTGGAGTTTGGGCAAGGATGAATTTGTTCGTCCCAAAAAGGCTGACTCGGTCGAGTTGAAGATTATGCGTAGATTCCCATTCAGCTCTGCGTTGAAGAGAATGTCCACTCTCTCACTGCTTAACGACAACGGCAAGCCTCAGGTTTTCATTGCAGTTAAGGGGCCCCAGAAACACTTCGATCCATGTACAAAGACCTTCCCGCTGATTATGATGATGTGTACAAATACTGGGCTCGTCGTGGAAGCCGTGTCCTTGCCTTAGGATACAGAGTTGCCACTGAAATGAAAGCTAGCCAGATCCGTGAAGTTAGTCGTGATGCTGTTGAAAGCAACTTGGTGTTTGCCGGATTCTTGATTTTCTTCTGTCCATTGAAGCCAGATTCTGCCGACGCGATTCAGATGCTGAACAACTCCTCCCACAGAGTAAGCTTGTTGTCGTTCCACGAGAAGACGTACTAAGATATTTAATAGTGTGTTATGATTACCGGAGACAACGCTTTGACTGCTTGCCACGTTGCAAAGGAGGTCGGAATCGTTTCCAAGCCTGTTTTGATTTTGGATGTCAGAAACGATGATGGCTGTCATGGCAATCTGCAGACGAAACGGTTACTCTTGAAATTGATGTCGAAAACAAGATCAAAGACCCTCGTTTGGCCAAATTTGAGCTCTGTGTTACTGGTCGTGGTCTTGCTGCTATTTTCCATAAGCCTTGTTTGCTGCCCTCTTGCCACGTATCTGGGTATATGCTCGTGTTTCTCCAAGCCAAAAGGAGGATATCTTGAACGCTTTGAAGAATGCTGGATACCACACGTTGATGTGTGGAGATGGAACCAATGATGTTGGTGCCTCAAGCAGGCACATGTTGGAATGCGTTGTTGGACGGAAACCAGGAGGAAATCGAAAAGTACAATAAGCTTCAGATGGAGCGCAGAAAGATTGAGTTCCAAAAGAAGCAGAACGAAGCACGCGAGAAACTGGGATGGAGCCCTGCCGTCGCTCCTGGACAAAAGAGTTTGACTGGCGCTACTGCTGAAGAAATCAAGAAGGATCCAAAGGCTGAATTTGAAAAGCAGATGGAGGTTCGTAACTGGCCTGAAGTTGTTTTTTTGATGTTAACATTGGCACGTTTTACAGATGTTGAACAATATGCTAGGTGAAATGGAAGACATGGAAGCTCCAACTATCAAGTTTGGTGATGCGTCTGTTGCTGCTCCTTTCACGTCCAAGTTGGGAACTGTTATGTCTGTGGTGAACATTATTCGTCAAGGTCGTGCCACTCTGTGGCTATGGTTCAAATGTACAAAATTTTGGCATTGAACTGTTTGATTTCTGCCTACTCTATGTCAGTCATGTATTTGGCCGGAATTAAGACGGGAGATTGGTAAGTTTGAGTTTCAGGTGTTACAGTTCCTGACGACTTTGTTTGTAGGCAAGCAACTATTGCCGGTATGTTGATCACAATGTGTTTCTTCGGTATCGCAAAGTCATCTGCGGTCGAGCGATTGTCGAAAAAGAGACCTCAAGCAACGTATTTAACCACTACATCATTATTCTGTCTTGGGCCAAGTTGCTTGCCACGTTGCGTCTTTAATTTACATTCGTGCTCAGGCGATTGAGTACTCTGAAGAGCTGTAAGTGCACAAGTTGGCTGTTTCGAGATTATGCTCAACACTATTTTCTTCATTAGCGATGAAATTAGATTGGATGCCGAATTCCAGCCAAACCTCTTGAACAGTGCAGTGTACCTTGTCTCCCTCATTATGCAAATTTCTACTTTCGCCATCAACTACCAGGGTGAACCATTCAGAGAGTCTCTCTTCAAGAATAAGTCTTTGTACAACAGTTTGCTGATTGTTACTGGAATTGCTGTTCTCGCTGCGTCCGAGATTTCCCCTGAACTCAACTCCACTATGCAGTTGGTTCCTTTCCCAGATGACTTCCGATACAAGTTGATGGCCACAATGGCGTTTGACTTTGGAGGTGCTTGGGTTGTGGAGGTTATTTGTAACTATCTGTTCTCTGATAACAGGGCTAAGGCTGAATTGTTTTAAGGATTGGGGGGCTAGATTCTAGTTTTTGATGAAGGCTCTATTGATTTTGGAATAAATCAATTAAAAAAAAATACGTTTTTATGTTTGTCGTGGGCGGGCAGCATACTTTGGCGGGTCGGTTGGATGATTCCGATTTAAGCCTTGATTCACTTGAAAAGAAATAGCATCAGCAGATATGTTGTATTCCCTGTATCTCGTCAAAGGTCATCGTGCGACTTACGCCACTGTACTGCTGTTCGCCCTTGTTGGTGTATCCCTCGTCGCTCTGCAAGTCAATTCAAGACGAGGGATCTTGAACCACCTGATTGCTCAACCTGCCATACCAATTTCCATATTCAACATTGCTGCTCTGCAAATAACACTGTGTCTTTCCATCTGAAGCACCGCCCTTCTCAATGTGCCTGCATCCACGGGGTGACTATGTTGCAGACTTCGTATACGCAGCCGGGGGTAAAGACCAGAAAGTCACCGCTGATTCCTCTGATTCTATATATGAATCAAAGCTTCGGAAAGAGATGCTACGAATTCTTGCTGAGAATGGCGACCCAGACGCAGTTGTTTTGGATATTGGTGGGAATATTGGGTTGCATACTGTCTTTTTGGCGAATGCTGGGTATAAGGTGCATGTGTTTGAGCCCTTTAAGGGTAACTTTGATTTATTGAAGTGCACTGTGGTGAGTAAATTTTTGAAAGGTTTAGCTGTGAGTTTTCATGCATACTTTGCAGATGTCCAATCCTCAACTTGCGAAGAACGTTGTTCTGAACAACTTTGGACTCAGTGATGTCGCAGCCAAAACTTGCATAGTATCTAATCCAACAAATCATGGAGGTTCGGTTATTCAGGGAAGTGGAACTGAAAACTGCACTGCCGAGAATACTGTTGAAGTCCGAAGACTTGATGATTATCTTCTCGAGCATCAGATTAAACCATACCTTGTCAAGATTGATGTGGAAGGGTACGAGTACAAGGCATTAAGCCCTGCATCAACGTTTTTCAAAGAGAATCCGCCTTCGCATATTTTCTCGGAATTTGTTTCGAAGCATTTCAAAGAGCAAGGTGAAGCAGAAGCTTACTTGGAACTCTTTTATCAATTGGGGTACAATGTAAAATGGAATGAGAACGTTGTAAAGAAAGGAAGTGAGAAATATTCCGCTTTGATGAAAGCAGAGTTCGCGGATATTCACATGTATCAATAAAATATCTTCACACATTGAAGGTTTAAACGAATCAAGTACTATAATGCAATTATCCTTCTTAAATAGTATAAGTGTGATTTCGAGAACGGCACAACGGACGCCATTTCAGCCAACCAACTCACCTCCAGGATAATGTTGAAGCTTCGTGTCCTTTTCTTCCAAACAAAGACAAAACAGAGACGAAAGAAAAAAAAGAAGTGAGCAGAGTGGGATCGAACCCACGCCTCCGGAGAGACCACGGCCTTAACGTGGCACCTTGGACCGCTCGGTCATCTGCCCTTCCAAATATTTTGATTTCAGTAACCTACTTAAAGGTTTGATGTTCGAACCCCACCATCGACAGTCAATGTTGAGAGTGTAACTGCGAGAAGGTTCAGAATAACTCAGTGCGGTAGCAGTAAGTCGGGCTTATCGAGTATAGAAAGGCTGAACGACGGCTTATGAGGTTCAGGGGAGGGCGGTGCAGGACAATGCACAATTGTCGCGTTATTCAGCAATATATTATTGAACAAAACCGAAGGGCATAGCCAGATTCTGACAGAAGGAGTCTTCAAAAATATTTAAGTTCACCTTCATCTCTTTCGCTGTAGTGCATGCTTATTGGCTTTTGACTCGTTGTTTGGAGGCGTAAGATTTCAAGGACTAAGAGTCGCTATTTAAAGAGTCTTAATGCAGAATAGGTACATATTTCCAAGGATGGTCAGAATAGGAGCAATCCTGAAAATGTCGGCCATCTTAATAGTAAACCACTTCCTCGCCTGATTTTCATAAATCGTCGCTCAACCCATCGCGTCCCATAAGTGATCTTCCAACGTGAACTCCGATTGAGTTTTTGTCATAATATGTAGAAGGAGAGAGTCACAAAAGGAAGGAAAGACAGACTATTAATAGTTGTTTGGAACAGGAGAATGGGTAATTCCTCCATACATCTTAAATGTTGAACTGTATAAATTCGTCATTATTTCATATCTTTCTTCTTCAAAATGACTCGTGCAACAAGTTCATCGACAGCACAGCAAACGGCATTGAAGACCTTTCGATCCCAAAAGCTATCGTCACGCGTATACTTAAGAATGTACCTGTGAGTATACCGTAATATCGCTAGCCCTGTTCGTCCCATACTGAATGTTGCACAAAAGGCCGGACAGATCCCAATGCAAAAAGAAGCTCGAGAAGCGTTCGTCAAATCCGTGACTGTATTCATCTCATACATATCAATGCAGTTGAGTCTCCCTTTGCGCCGTGTGTCTCGGGGGTGTGGTTTGGGGTTGTTGACTGGTTGATGGTGTTGCAGGGCTGCAGACGTTGCTCGCAAGACAAACAGGAAAACTATCACGGCGAATGATGTGTATGAGGCGTTGTCTGTGAGTGAGTTTCAGGACTTTGTGGAGGCGATTAAGGCGGATACAACTGGTATGTTGTAGTTGAGTCTTGACGTTTCGTGCTGGCTAATCCTTGTTCTATTTTGCTTCAGCGTTTCAGCAGAATGAGAGGGAGAAGCGGAGCGCGCAGACCAAGAACGCGCGGGCGCTGAAGAAGGCTGCGTTGCAGGCTACGAAGCAGCAGACTGTTTCACGTGCGGATTCGAATGATGATTTGGATGGAGGGGATGATGCAGAGGGAGCAGAGGAAGAGGAGGACGAAGATGAACATGCGAGCAAGAGGGTTAAGGGTGGGGATGATGAGGACTCATGAAGGCTGTGTACACCTATCACTCTGTGTTGCCTGAATTATCTTGAATTATTTATTGAATATAGGATGTGTTGTTTGAATATGATGATTATGAGAGAGGGGAAGGAGTGGATCGAAAAACTCTCTTCAGAACATGGCTGACTTTGACGACGATTACGAGGACTTTGTGGACACGTCCATCCCTGCTCGATCTGAGTACGAGCTCAACGCGGGCATTCAGGACCGATCGAACCAAGTCCGTGGATTTGTTTCCAGGTGAGGTGTTTGGGGTGTGTGGTATTGGATGATATTAATACGCTTCTATTTCTTCAGTGGACGGTTCGCAGAAGCTGTTGCTAAGGCTCTTGAGGATCCTCCTGCTGGTCGGGATGCGCAGGGTGCCAAGGTACTATTCGGAGGCATTTTGGTGGGAGTTACGGGGACAGTGGAAGGGCTCTATGAATGAATCGAGAGTGGAGCAAATCGATAGCCGCAGTATGAGCCACTTTCCAGTCGTTTCCTTTGAGAGTGATAGAGGCGAAGTTGAAGACTCTGGACGTGCTGATGGGATACCCAACATGACTGGCGCTTCATTGAACCTATGAATCGACAGAAACGCGATGCGAATATGCATATTTGTTATCCTTTAGTACTGAACTGGACGTGGGTGGACATGACTGGATGAAGAATGATGGAACCATACCTATTGAACGTAGCCGACTTGGAGACTAAGACTAAGCGATTAATAGGATAAAAACCTTCAAGTTGTTATGGAGGCACTTGCAGCACCGCGTGGAACGGATATCCCAGTAATTGTGAAGCAGTTGGCACCATACCAATTGGACACACTCATGAAGTTTGTTTACCGAGGAATGGCGTATCCTGAAGCATTTAACCCATCTGTTTTGCTGACATGGCACGAGAAGGTATTAGCGGTTGAGTTGTTTCAATATTATCACGTAGTGACCTGTGTTGCCAATAGGTTACTGAAGTTACGGGTCTTGGTAGCATTGTTCGTGTCCTCACTGACCGTCAGACTGTCTAAACTCATGGCCATTTGATTGGTTTTTCTGCTTGTTGAAATAAAGAACTACGGTTACGTGTTGATTTTTGAGGATGACAGGACGTATAGTTATTAGTTAATCGCTATTAATTGCGATGATTTTATTGGAGGTCTTTATGGAGGTGGAAGGATGATTGAGCTTGGACCCATTATATTTCACTGTCAATATGGGTGACACGTCCATCTTGACAGAAGGGCTCTCGACGACAAGTCTTCTTGATTTTGACGCAGGAGCCACTGTTACAGCATTACGCACGCACTTGGCACAGCGACTGCTTCCTGCGCTTCTCTGCGTTGAGGCATCATCGACCGAGTTGGAGTTGCAGAGCACCGCGAACGAGGCGGTGCTGACAGCATTCAGCACTGACCCGTCTGTGCTCGCAATGTACGTGAGTGTTGAATCTGGGCTTGGAGCGGGTGCTGGTGATGAAGGAGGTGAGTTGGTTGAGTTGGTTGAGAGTTGAGAGACTCAAGCTTAAACACAACAACACATCGACCCAGTCACGCTCACTCTCGAGGCAACAACATCGTCCTCAGTCGCCGTGCTCAAACGAAGCGCCTCAGTTCCACTCGATGCGCAGTCCGCGTTCGGCCTCGCAAACCAGTTGTCGATTGTTGCGCTCCCGGGCCTTGCCGCCGCCTCGTCGTCTTTGTCTTTGTCTTCTTCGGCGGATCAACAAAACTCGGCTGCAAATCCAAAAGCAGCCGCAAAGGTCTTTGAAGCGCTGCACGGCCTCGTCCACGCCGCAGTCGCCCCCTTCTTCGACGCCTTCGTCGCTGCCTCAAACAACAACAACAACGCGTCAGACTCGTCGAACAAGGACAAGGACAACAATGCCGCTATTCCAAAGACGAAGAAGAAGATGGCCGAACTCGAACTGTCTCTCTTGCATCTCCAGCAGAATGTCGAAATCCCCGAAGTCCACCTCTCCGCTCACCCGCTCATCCAACGCGCAATCGCAAAGTGCAAAGAAAACTCCACCCGTGTCACTGTCGATGCTGTCGGCGATATTACCGAAGACTCTACCTTCTTGAACAAGCTGCAAAGTGATGTCAATGGTTGGATCAAGGAAATTCAAAAAGTTACGCGTCTCTCTAGAGACCCAGATGTTCTTTCCGGTACAGCTCGTCAAGAAATTAACTTTTGGTTGAATATGGATAATGCCCTCGCTCAAATTGAGGATCAGTTGAAGGGCGAGCAAGTTGTCTTGACTCTGGATGTTTTGAAGCATGCTAAGCGTTTTCATGCTACCGTGAGGTATTTTAACGAACGAGGAGATGACTGAGCGAGGAACGAGTGAGGGAATGTAGTGTGGGCGAATTGGCGAACAGGGAACGAATGAAAAGATGACTGTGCACCCAAAAGAAATAGCGAGCGTAGCGAGCAAAGAAATGTGAGCGCAGCGAACGATCTTTCGCAGAGCGAACTATCGACGATGTCGGTATTATGACGACAAAGTCGACAATAATGCGACACAGTCACTAACAAAGCGAGCCAACTCGCGCAGGCGAGACGAGCTTTTGGATCGGAGTTACCGGGAGGAGACTGCTGGAAAGGAGGAATAGAAGGGAATCGACAAATTAAGAATGAACTCATACACTGAGTATCACAACGTACCACGAATCCCTCCTGATATAAACTAAATCATGTACACACTAGTTTCCGTGCTGACACTGGACTCAATGAGGCATTGGACAAAGTCAACAAGTACAACCAACTCATGAAGGATTTCCCGTTGAACGAATTGCTCTCCTCCACAGACATTGAACGTGCTGGTTATGCACTGACTCTCATCTTTGGACACTTGAACAAGAAACTGCGCATCAGTCCATACCCGATCGAACGTGCCTTGAAACTCGTTGAAGCAATCAGTCGAGACTTCAATGACCAGCTTGTCAAGTTTATTGGTGGACGACGCTTGATGCTCCTTCCGTACGAAGAGTTTGATAAAGTTACTGGAGGTCTATACCTCGATCCTGGAGCTGCAACGAAGGGCCACGGTATCCAAGCATTCTTGGACATGAGTGGCAAAACAGGTGGAAGCATGCAACTTGAACTGGAAAAGTGGATCCGTTTGTTGGGCGATCCAGATGATGTACCCAACATCAAAGAACGTGTCACGAAGGAAAACGCTGCTGTCAGATTCGGATGTGAAGGGGCTTTCCGTGTTTGGGATGATAATGTGAAGGAGTTCACGAACGTGGCGAGGGAGCAGACGCGAAAGCGGCAGGAGCAGTTTATGGCTATTCGTATCCACAGTGCTCATGCGGACTTGAAGGAACGTGTCGGGTTGATTCGCGCATTCCGTTTCAAGCATGAGCAGTTGTATAACACTATCGTCAAGGTGATGAAGCCCAGCAAGGCGGATGCCAACGCTCAAGCAGACAAGTTTGCCACCATTCTGTCTTCCGACAGCAGTGCCATTGAAGACGTGAATCTCGCATATGATTGCGTAAAGTCTATTGACGTATTGGACGTATCACCTGAAGGAAAGGACGTCTGGATTGAAGCCATCAACAATTACAACGACTTGATCTCTCGAGT